TTTCCCTCCATCCATCCCTCATCCTCCATCTCTCTCTTTCCTCCTCCCCCTTCCCTCTTCCTCCATCTTGACTCTCCTTCTACATCTTTCCCTCCTTCCATCTCTCCTCCTTTATCGCTCTCTTTCCTCCTCCACTTCTCTTTTCCTCTCCTTTCTTTCCTGGTTGCACCTCTTCTTGCGCCACCCTTCCCCTGTCTCCTCTTTCTCTCCCCTACCTTCTCAACATTCCCTTCTCCACCTCCCTCTCCCTTCCTCACCAGCCTGTCTCTTGCCCCCTTTCCTCTGCCTTATCATCTACCCTCCTAATAATTCTTCAACTGTGACCTCACTTCTCCTTCAGCTCCAGCTTTCTCGCAGTTTTCATCTGATCTCCAAGAGGTGGACCGTCTTGTCCACAGTGGACCAGTGATTTTCTACCATCTGTAGGAGGCAAGGTTTCCTGGAGGCTGAGTGGCTCAGCCCTTTTGCCTAGTTCCCCGTACTTGTTCATCTCTGTCTTTTCTAGGGTGGCTTCTCTTCGCCACTGGCCTGCTTCAGAAGACTTTCTGCTACCCTGGGATGGTGGAGATGATTGTGAACCCTCTCCTCAGTTATGGGAGACCCGGAACTAAGGTCAGGAAGAGAGCAACTCTGTTGGGCTACAGGGGTTGGGGGACGGATGGGAGTCAGATGTGGGCACAGGCTTGACTGTATTGCTGTCTCACCTTTGGGAGGGAGGTGGGGGCCCTCTAGGGAAGGGGAAGGAGGGGATTGGAAGCAACTGATAAGAGCTAATGCAGAGGTCTTTGTCAGGGAGACTGGATCGGATGCACAGACTCCTGGAGAGGGGAAGCCCAGACCAACCCAGACCCGAGTGGTGAGTGGTTTCCCTGCCTGGAGCCTCTGTGGCTCCATGTTCCAGAAGCAGGCTGTGTGTACAAGGCCTGGAGCCCGATGAGACGTGAATGGCCCGCTGAAAGCCAGCTTACCTGGGGCGGGGCTGAGGGGCAGCTGGGAGGCAGTTGCGTGCACAGTTGGTTGTGGGAGGACTCGATGGCCCATGTGGGTGCTGATCTTTCCTGGTGGGTCCCCATTGCCCAGAGCAGCCAGATGTCCCAGGTTCTTATCTGTGATGCTGTAACTACACATGTCACGGACACTTAACGATCTTCTTGTATTTCAGGAGACTCAAAGGTTTGTTTTCTGCGCTTTAATGGTTTTAGGGTGTTGGGTGCCGGTAGCGCGTGGGGTTGGTTTTGTCAGTAGTACTCTCGGCCTTGGGGCCTGAGAGGTCCTTCTTGCATTTGTAGAACAGCAGGACCTCATGAGAGAGTATGTACGCAGGAGTGTGAGTATGAGCATCCATGCATGCTGCGGGGAGTGTGTGTGTGTGTGTGTGTGTGTGAGAGAGAGAGAGAGAGAGAGAGAGAGAATGGGTGGTAGATAGCTCTGTGTTGTGGAAAGGGTGTCAGGGTGTCTTTGTCAGACCGTTTGGATGTGATTGCAGTGTGTGTGAATGTGAGTGTGGCCTATGTGTCTAGGGCTACGCGTGGGAGGGAGCGTATGTGAGAACCTGTGTAGTATGTGTGTCATCACTGTAGGTGAACTCGCAAGTCTCACTGGGCATCTTGGCCCCACAGTAGGCAGCCCCTCATCAATGCTTCCCTCAGCTTCTCCCTCTGGGAGGGTGGTTCTGGCTGTGGGGGGAGGGGTGGTAGTGGCTGATACACCCACTCTTATTCTCTCTTTTTTTATAATCAATTTATTGGGGCTCATACAATTCATCACAATACATAGATCAATTGTGTAGAGCACATCTATACATTTGTTGCCCTCATCATTCCCAAAATTCG